GGTAAAAACTACTATCTGGGTGGTGTCACAGCTGCAGGCAGAGCAGTAAAGGCTCTAGAGCATCCTGAGTGATCAGTCCCACATGTGACATTCTCCACTAAGCTTTGTTCTGGCAACATTCCCACTATTCAAGGAAGGAAATGCAGTATTCTTTTTTTTTTCTGCGAGGCTGGATGTGAAGCTTGGAAAGCAGAAATGCTTTAACTATGTGGCAGGAGGATGGTAGTTCATAATTAATTTTCCACATCAACTGTTGGCCGCCCTCCTCTTCCTCTCTGCTAGGCTGCAAACTGCCAGTGAATACTTATCCAAAGAACAGACATGCCACAGAGAAAAAAGCATGATTGTTATTAGACAATACTATATAGTGTGTGCTAGCCAAAAATAAGGGGTAAGCTAGCCAAAAATAAGAGGTAAGCAAGCCTGGGTGCAGTGAGAGCAGTACCAGGGCAAAGGCAACCCTGCCTGAAGCTGCTTATCATGTAAGAGATGCAAAAATGAAGGGGATAGAAAAGCAGGATAGGGAGTGTGAGATGGACAGGAGAAGGCTGGAAGCAGATATGGAAACATGTTCGCAGAAGAAGATTTTGAGCCAGGTCATTTCAAAATATCTGTAGCCCAAAGAAACACACACCCTTTTCCACCCCAGTGGAAAGGTAACCCATGCCTGAGACGTGGCCCATGGGCTGCCATGCAGCAGCTCTGCAAAGGACAAGGGGCTCCAAACTGCTTCATCTTCTGAGAGAAAGCGTTCTCCCTTCAGAGTTAGCATTTTCCACTCCTCAGTGTCCAAATTTCTCAAAGATCAGAGTGCAAAGTAATTACAAGGAGGTTGCTGGTTCTCGCAGGAGAAAGGTCTCCTGAAGAAAATAAGCCACTACGTCATTATGCTCTCTGAAGCAACACAGCAAACATCAGAGCCCAGAAGGCAGAGCAAGAGCCTGACAGCCCAGGAACAAGCCCATTTGTATGACTTTGGGCAGACCCATTGACTTCTCAGTACTTCAAGAGTACAGGTAAAGGACTATTATATTACTGTACCATGATAGATATTTTAAGAATCTCATGTTAGTTTTGGAGTTTCTTATTTTATTTCAGAAATTCAACTCAGTTCTGCTGCTGATAGCTACTTTTTAATTCATTTCACATGAAGATATTTGTTATCAGAAATTGTGCTTTGATATGTGTCAGGTTGATGGATTCAATAAAAGCCCTGTCAGGAGAAGTTAAGTGAATAGGGTTGCAGAAGTGGTATCATCAAGGGAATTGATACATTAACAGCCAGTCTGCTGATCTTGCAACAAAACATGTAAACATAATAGCCATTTTATTTCCTCACCCTGGCAAAACAGTTCAGAGAAACATTAGAAAAGATTTGCATAAATGTTACTCATACAAACAAGCTCACCATGATCACTGATAAAAAACATATGTAAAAAGTGATCCTGCATGCTGTCCTGTTTTCCTTTTTGGTGTGCAAAATTCAGTCAAGAAGAACAAAGACTACTCAAAATAGAGCTTTAAATTTAACTTTGGGAATTCAAGCAGACATCCCATGACACTCCAACTGAACTTTTCCTTCAGTAGTGTAGGAGGACAATTTTACCGACACGTTTTCAGACACAGACAGTAGACCTGCACTCCTCATCAAGTCATTGAAAGTTGCAGTAAGGCCTTATTTTGACATTCAAATCCACAGCACATAAAATCAGTGTTTGTTTCTGATTTAATAAATGAAATTACATAAGAAGCAAGACAAATTTGAACTTTTTATCAGACCACATAATACAGGGAGTGAGAAAAGGACACCTGCCCACTGCTCTGCTATAGGTCAAGCAGGTCTTGAATATGCAAGCTCTCCGCTTCACCTCTATCAGACCACCACAGCTGCAATGCTACCCCTGCACTGCCCTGTAATGCAGAGAGATTTAGTTAACTTGAACTGACTTACAGAACATTTGGGAATGGTAAAAAATGTGATATTGACAGTCAACTTTTAAAGAAGAAGAATAATATTACAGCCTAAACAAAGCAAAGGGAAAAGTACCAAAGCAATTAATCTGAAACAGGTGAATTACATTGAGGATTTATGTCCATGTAATGAAGACAATTAATTGTTACGAGATCCATAAAACACATTAAATGAACAAGATTTTTTCCAATTCTACTTGCAAGATGAAATTTATTAACTATGTTTAATGGCTACTTAAAATTTTTCTCTTACGTATTTATTAAATGTGCTTTTTCAGCAGAATAGACCATTTTACTAACCAGATTCTAATAATCTAAAAAATGAGCAATTTAAGAAAAAAACCCTACTCTGCATGTTATCTACAGATCCATTTAAAATGATTCCTTACACAATAAGATTACCATCACAAGTGCATAAATGCTGCTAAAAGGTAATCTGCTTGTCTAACACGAGCACACAACATTCTGCTGCAAAGATAAATGAGTTCAGCTAACATTATTTGGACATATGTTGCCATTTCCAGCAGAGATATGGAGCAAACGTGGGTCCTGATGTCATTTTGTGTTACTGTAATCATTTAATTAAAAACCCCTCTACTTGGGAGAGCCGTACACATGGAAGAAACCAGCTTAGATCGGACCAGTGACCGCAAACGAATCCACATAAAAATCTTGTGCTTTGCCCTACAGACTCAGCTGCTCAGCCAAGGCTGTATTCATGTCTCCAGCTGGGGGTATCAGATACACCTTCTGCACTTGTGATTGCATGCAAATCGGAGACAGGCATTTATCTTAAAAGTGAGCTTGAAGTGACTCTGTTCTTTATTCACCATCTGTAAAATGGGGATAAGTAGCACTTCTGTCTTAAATGGTGTCATGGGAACAGATAAAGTTGATGGTAGTCAACTATTCTGGTAAGTTTGCATGAGCCCCCAAGATGAAGAGAAAGGGTAAAAAAGGGTCTCAGTTACTTGAATGAACAAGAGCAGTGTTGCCAACTCTTTAAACTTTAGCACAATATTCTCACAATCTGCAACGTTCTTCTTAAAGATCGAGTTTCCATAAATGTGAGCTTTCCTTTAATAAGAACCAAGTTTTTAGATCTGATGGTCACAAAGTCAAATGCAAAAAAACATAACCAAAGTTGAACCTAGACTTTAATGACTAAATAATAGTTTTGCATAAATCAGTTGTATAGAAAATGCTCTTTGTCCTCTGAAACTTTGAGATTCTGCAGTCCTGCACCACCTCTGCACTGGAGTACTACTCATCCTGCAGCTTGAGATGTGCACCTCAGACTGAGAATTGGACAGACTCAGGTGGGAAGGACGTGGGGAGCTCGTCTCATCATCCTGCCTAAGGCAGGGTCAGCACCACAGTCACACCAGCACCCAACTGCTCTGGTGTGGATCCTCAGACAACTTGTGGCACCCTGCGTACCCAGCAAAAACATACACACTCATTGCAAGGAAGATTTACACGCTTTCACCTAAAAATCTCACACAGAAACAGGGAATAAACAAATTGATGTGATTTCTACATTGGAATAGTGCAAAATATTTCTCTGCAAATGTCAAGAAGCCCACTTGATTATGAAATCTCTCTCCAACAGTCTTTCCCTTTAGGTATTATAATCACAAGAGCAGCAGCTTGGAAATAAACAAAAGTGAAGATGGTAACAAAAGCATGTGCAATGTTTAACAACCTCCACTTCTAGAAACCAGGTGCCACTGGAGCAGACAGAATGGAAAGCACTGCAGCGGTTTTAATGATGGGAACCTCTCCTCCCTGACAAGTGTTGTTTTCTTAAAATACCTGTACAAATTAACAGCATATGCTGTGATTGGAACAGACCTTTCTTGGCCCTCAAAAGTTAAGCACTTAATTTAAGTTATTTCCACCCAACTTTTTCTGCAATTGCTGCAGAGAGGCAGTCTCCAGACCAGCAGAGCTCTGCTGGAGCATAAGAGATTCAGCCTGTAATTTCCAGAGGCAACACTACCGGTGCAACCAGATCCAAAGCAGGAGGATGAATGCATACTCACCTGAATGACACATGATTTTTTTAGATACTTTAAAGAAAGTCTTGACTTTTTCCCCCCTCCCTCCACTAACACCAAGCACAGGTGTTATATTGCTGCTGTACTTTTCTCAACAAGACTATACTGCTCGTTCAGTCATATAAGAGAAGTCAATACCCATGTGTTAAATGAAAAAGGATAGCATCATCTGATACCATTCTACTGAAATCAGAGAACCAAAACTTTAATTTTTTTTTTTTTTTTTTTTTTTTTTTAGCCAGCAAACTTCGCCTTCACAGAAATAACTTGGCCTAGATAAAAGAAGTTATAGAATCAGAGGCTATATTACCCTAAATGATTCTATATAACAACCTTTGTCCACAATACATTCCTTAAGTCCTAGCCCTCAATTTCTTGTTAAAAGATAGTTGCATATTGCCTGGCTACAGTTACAGCATAACCATGGCAATGTTTGTGTGGATATGAGAACCTCCACACATGCAGAAATTGTAAGTGCTACACAACAAGCGGGACACACACGATTATGGAAGCAACTGGTATTATTTCTGTCCTTGGCAAACAACAGGAATATACAAAGCACAAAGGAAAGCATGGGTCATATTACAAATGGGCTACTTCAGCATTATTTAGTTTTCTTCATCTCTGACCATCTGAATTGCAGATGTTAGTGAAACACAAGTGGGATTTTCAACATGCGGATGCCTATCACTAAGTACACATCAACAGCAGCAAAACACAACCATTCGTGAGGATTTCATTCATTAAAGCATTTGATATATACATGTACCCCCTCATGCCCAAGACTTTAAAACAATTCACTCTTGATGAACGTTCTCCAAATTCAGGGAGGGCAAAGGTTATTTATGGAGTCAGTATGAGCATGGCACATATACAGCAACAAACATGAAGGCTGCTAATTTTCTATCTTCCCCATATCAGATATTCAGAAAAGAGCAAAAAGACAAGAGCAGGGGTAAAATTACATACCTTACCAAACCTGAATGTTGGACACAACTCGTTTCAGAGCAACATTTGGTGTGAAGGTAAGTTCCTCAGGTGACCACCAACTGCAGTTCCTTTCTGAGCACCCCAGAAGTTCCAGCTCTAACTTGTCTGTGTCCCTGAGGAAGATGCAATGTCCTCCAGTATTTCAGAGCCTCAGCTGAAAAAGATACTGTCCAGAAAAAGGACAGAGAAGAAAGTGTGGCATTAAATTCTAGGGTCAGCTGTCTGGCAGATTCAGAGCAAAGAATAAGACAACATCAGATAGGAATAAAACGTCAAGGCAGGACAAAGAGTCTGTGACAATCCATCATGCATGGCACCTTTGGAGGGCAATCTTTAAATTCAAGAACTGTGGTGCAAAGCTATTCTTGCTTAACAGTACTTTAATAGTGTCCCTACACCAGGAAATGAATGCCAGCCTAGCTGCTTTTTATTATAGTCCAATATCATAATAAGAATATAAGTAATACACTTCTCCATAGAGAATATTTTCATTCATTATAGCATTTCTGCAGAATAAAAGAACTTCCATATGAAAAGCAGAAACATCACCTCAGTCTTAATGCTTTGCACTGTTAAAATGGCTCTCACTCAAGGAACTCAAAGCTCCTAAAGAGGCAATAACATTACGACCTTACAGCTGATGGGTAGCAGTGACTGTCAGCCCAACATGCAGCAGCGAGTTCCCAAAGTTCAGTCTCCAAAGCAATTGTCAGAAACTGGTAAATGGCCCAAGCTTTTCTGGGAGGATGAGGGCTTGGCATTGCCACATTTTCTAGCGCATTCTCACTGCTTCCAAGAGGTCAGACCCTGGCACTGAACATGGACTTGGTGGCCTCACACCAGGCACCCAGGTGAGAAGACAGCAATGGGGATGACCACCTGGCAACAACACTGCCTGCAACCAAAAACCTTAGAGAAGCACTGAGAAGTTCAAATATTCATCGCTGTCATTGCATGAATCAACGTTAATCCCTGGCATATGGGAATATACTTGAAGGGCCACCCTCTCCCCACCTGGACAGCAGAGCCTGGAAAGAGAGACCAGGCAGAGCAGCACAAAGCAGGTGAGGACCAAGAAAAAAGTAGGATCTGACCTCCCTAGGATGCATGAATACACACTGGGTGGTTGTGTCCTTAAACCAGGCTCAAAGATGCTTTTCTAACATTAATTCAACACAGCAGCTGATAACATACTTTAACTTTGCCTAGAAATGCAAAAAGAGCAAAGAAAAAAAAAAAAAGATATGCAGACATATTTATTCCTTAGAGCTCTCCTACACAGGAGAAATCCTGTGACAGCTCAATATACCACAAAATCCCATTATAGCTTGTTGTGGTTTAACCCCTGCCAGCAACCAAGCCCCACACAGGCGCTTGCTCCCTCTCCACTGATGGGATGGGGGAGAGAATTAGAAGAGTAAAAGTGAGAAAACTCGTGGGTTGAGATAAAGACAGTTTAATAAGTAAAGCAAAAACTGTGCATGCAAGCAAAGCAAAACAAGGAATTCATTCCCCACTTCCCATGGGCAGGCAGGTGCTCAGCCACCTCCAGAACAGCCGGGCTCCATCACGTGTAATGGTGACTTGGGAAGACAAATGCCATCACTCTGAACATCCCCACTTCCTCCTCCTCCCCCCAGCTCTGTATGCTGAGCATGACGCCATATGGTCTGGGATGTCCCTGGGGTCAGCTGGGGTCAGCTGTCCTGGCTGTGTCCCCTCCCAACCCCTTGTGCACCCCCAGCCACTCGCTGCTGGGGTGGGGTGAGGAGCAGAAAAGGCCTTGAGTCTGTGAAAGCACAGCTCAGCAATAACTAAAACATCCCTGTGTTGTCAACACTGTTTGCAGTACAAATCCAAAACACAGACCCATACCAGCTACTATGAAAAAAACCTAACTCTATCCCAGCGAAAACCAGCATAAAAAATCCTGAGCCAATGAACAGGTTACAGCTATCTGGAAAACCCATTAGCTTCTGGACTTGCAAGAAGGAAGATTTCAGTAATAAGTGTGTAAAACTGCCCATACTGAAAGTTAGCATTATATTGCTCTTTTTTAAAAAATCTATATCTATAAATATTACCAAAAAAAAACAAAAAAAACAAACCAAACCCCAAAAGTCTAAGCATGGTCACACAGATCAGAATAACCAAATATATTCACTTTATTTAGCACTAATTACCTCACTGGACCTTGTACAAGTGGTTTATGTTACATACCACACCTCAAGGCTCTACAAGTGGAACGGTTTGTGAGATACTCACAACAGGAGTCAGGACGGCAGAGCCCAGCCCTGATACCTTGATACACATTTTCAGACCTTCTGCCTCTCGAACTCAGACATGAAGGACAAAAGTGGACCTTCACAGTTCCCATCCTCTTCTAGGCTAACCATGAAAAAATCAAACTGCCAACTGAAATGGCTGCTGAATGACTTATGGGTATAGAATTGGCTGATGCTGCAGTAGTTTGATCTGCAGGTAGCAGCAAGACCTAATTTTATTGCTTTTAAGGGATTTCTATCTCTGGAGACCACAGTTACAATTACTTTTTTCATTTTGGCTCATAAATTGTAATGCAAGATAGTCATGAAGAAAATCAGTGCTGCATTTTTGTGCATTAACTATAGCATCAGCTGAGTTGAGACGAAGAAGTAACAATAATAGGACTAGATCATCATTGTAAGCTGAGTGCAGGAGCCTGGCCTCAGGTTAGAAAAGATGTGGGTTTGAAATCTCCTATTTAGTACAGCTTGCCAATGCTCACTGGAAGCAAATCTCTTTGGTAAGTTGGCACATTGCCTTAAAATGCTGCTATGCATGCACATAGAGTTTCTGTACCGTCTGAATTCCTGCACTGCTGGGTGGATCATAAATTATAATACAGGCATTCCTAAATTAACATAGTTAAGTGGTATCAGATCAGGCTTCAAGTCACAAAAGCAGGCATATAGATGTTCTCAATCAGAAAGGCAGGCAAGACATTTTTCCAGTAAAAAGAGAGTATTTCCCTTGGAGGAGTCTCAGTCCTTTACTGATAGAAAGCATGAATTATACAAACTAACTATACACTTTAGATGTAACAAATCAGATCAAATATTAAATTTGAAGACACCACTTCTATCTTGAGATGTTCCCAGACCACAAATCAATGAAGGCTGGGAGACTCTCTCACAGGAAGCCTTGCCATACATTTGCCCTGTTCTCATACTTTTCTTTAGGCATCAGCTCCTGATCACTGTCAGGGTGAGGACAGGATCCAGCTGGACCCTTATCTGACCCAGCACAATCATCCTTACATTTCAGTGTCACGCAGTTTAATGTACAGTTTGATCCTTGTGGCTGGATATGACAATATTGGTGAGCATTTGCAACCTTAGATAGGGAAAAAAGAGGTATCTAGAAGCTGAATTACATATTTGCAAGCAAATATTACAGTATACTAGATATTCAAATTAGTATTAGTTTGTCTCACCAAAAATTAATTACAGTCTATCTAACTGCAATTGAAGAAATTAGTTAAGCATAGAAAAGATTAAATATTTAAAGAGTCTGGTGACTTTAAAATAATTGAGAACATATCTCCTTGCTTAAATATTAAATTTATTTTATTTTTACTACTAATGTGACCATTAAGAAATTGAAACTCTGTGTGTGTTTGCATCCATGCAGACAAATATGACACAGGTATATGTAACATGTTCATATATGGTCTCATAGCTTTTACATTTCTCTGTAACTAAACTTGGCTAAACATGTTTGACTAATGCAGAGGAGATCTACCGGTAGAGCCAAAAGAAAGGTTGTGAAAGAGGCAAGAAAAAACACATTTTTATTGCTAAGTATTTAACAAGGTCAACCTCCTCTGTAAGTGCAGGAAAAAAGATCACACACCAGCAGACTCTGAACACAGCAGGGGATTATACCAATTCATTAGCAGGTGTATCTTCTAATTATAGCCCTGGACATTAGTCTCCATAAAGCTGAGCAGGGAACAACTGCTGCATTTTGCCATATCCTCAGGATCAAGCTCATTGTTTTCTACTGAGCTTCTGGACAGCATGGCTTAATGCAATCCCACCCCACTAGCTTCAGCCAAAAGCAAGGGTATTCAGTTATCTCAGAGGGTGCTCCTGACTCCTCACAGCTCAAGTCCCGAGATAAGCTGGGTTCTACATTTTATAGGATTTGTTCCTCTGTTCCCACCATGTAAAGGAAGCTGTAGGATCAACAACTCATCCTATCAGCTCCATCTCTGGTAAAGATTTCACATTAATTTAGTGTAAAGGTGACACTAGTGAAGAAGGGAATAAAATGAGACTTTGAATCCCTCTTTCCAGAAGGCTAATGGTAAAAAATTGGTATCAATACAACTTTGGCACCTTTCCAACAATAACACTTAGAGCATTGCCCACAGCCGTGTACCAGACATACTTTATCATTCATGATGGCTCAGTACAAAACATAAATAAAACAGAAGTTGCCAGCACTACTGGTACTCAGCTGTTTTGAAGCTTTTTTTTTCCTTCCCTGCCAACAAAACAGATAGTGAAAGAGTAGAACTGCTATTCAAGTGAAAACATTCATGATTAGGAAATTTGGTGGAGGCTGGTGGTGTGATGGAATTCCTCGTGAAATTAACTCAATTAAAGAATGCAAGCAATAATAAAATGAAGAATACATTGACTGTGATGTTGATGAAAATCAGCACTGTTTTTTTGTCATCCTAGTGTAAACTAAGGGTATCCAGGAAAAGGAAGTAAAAGCAGTGGTTAACCATGCTTGTCATATGAACTATTCCCATGATAATACTATTAATGTTACATTACAAGGTTCAAGAGTAAGATTAACATCTTACCAGGTTAGAAAATGCTAAAACATTGCACAAGTCTTGCTGCTGTTACATGCAAGTAAGTAATTTCTGAAAATTAAAACCAAGAAACGCAGTGGAAAAACTCCCAGTTTGAAATAAAACATGCCTGCTGAAGAAAGGAGCTTACATTAACAAAGGCTGCTTCTCAAGTTCAAAAGCATTAAGTTGCAGGCTACTGTCTAGCTGCTAACACTGCTGAGTTCTTTTTATTATTATTACTCTTACTACTGCTACAGTCTGGTTACACTATAAAATAAGACCTCTTGGGTTCCCTAGATTCAGATGTTTA